AGGAGGGTACCCACATAACATCTAGCTGTGAAAAGCCGTGGGGTGCTGTCTGCCAGGGAGTGGCAGCTGAAATTTTAGGCACCCTCTTAAAGGGAGTGGCAGTGAGCAGCAGCTAAAATTTTAGGCACCCTCTTAAAGGGCCAATGCACAAAATTTCTCTGTGGAGTCACCCACCTTGTGCTCTGGCAGAGGGAGGGTGAATTGAACTGGAGCTGTGAGAGCAGAACCCAGGACTAGGAACTCAGGGGATAGAGCTCAGAAGGCAGACACCCCAAGTTTCCTGGGCTGAGTCATTCCTCACACAGGGAAGGACATCTTTCCCACATTGACATTTGCCTTGCCTGGGGGGAAGACAGTCAACATACCCTATTGGAAAACACCTTGCCCTGAGGCCACTTAAGAGATTAAAAGTAACAATTAGCCTCCAGGCAGAAGCAACTGCCCCACCCTGTTGAAAAAAATCTTGCCACACCTGAGGATGATTGCCTGGGGGCAATTCAAGTGGGAATCCTATTAGTCTGTAGACAGAGGCAGTCTCTGGAGGCTTTGAGTCTTTGCCTGATCTAATTAGTCAGAAACAGCCTTTAACACTGTCCTGCACTAGAGATTGAGAGGTATAGAGGATCTATCTACAACATAGTCACACACCCAGACAGACAACCAAAATGAGGAAACAAAGAAACAACCTCCAAGTGAAAGAACTAGAAAATTCTCCAGAAGAAGAGATAAAGGAAGCAGAGATAAGAAATTTACCTGAAACAGAGTTCAGAGTAATGATGTTAAAAATGTTCAACATTATGAAAAAAGATATAATAGCTATGAAAAAAGAACAGTCTGAGATAAAAAATGACATAACACAAATAAAGAACACATGGAAGGAATACACAGCAAATTAGGGGAAGCTGAGGATTGAATCAGTAAATTAGAAGACAGAGGTGAAAATATCACTCAATTAGAGAACCAAAAAGAAAAAACAATTAAACATGAGGACAGCCTAAGGGAGCTGTGGAACAATGTGAAATGTAACAATATTAGAATAGTATGTGTGCCAAAGAGGCAGAAAGGGAGAAAGGCATTGGGGAGGTGTTTGAAGAAATAATGGTAGAAAACTTCCCTAACCTGGTAAAGGAAAAATTCACACAAGTTCAGGAGGCACAGAGAACCCCAAACAAGAAGAATCCAAACAGACCCATGCCCAGACACATCATAATTAAAATGCCAAAAATTAAAAACAAAGAGAGAATCTTAAAGGCAGCAAGAGAAAAGAAAACTGTTACCTATAAAAGATTTCCCATAAGGCTGACACTTGATTTCTCATCAGAAACTCTACAGGTCAGAAGGGAATGGCATAAAGTACTCAAGGTAATGGAAAGCAAGGATATGAGACCAAGATTACTACATCCAGCAAGGCTATCATTCAAAACAGATGGTCAAATAAAGAGCTTCTCAGACAATAAAGGCTAAAGGAGTTCATTACCACCAAGCCAGCATTATAAGAAATGGTAAAGGTATTGCTGTAAGGGATTGCTGAGAAGAAGAAACAGAGAGAGAAACCTAGCAGTACAGAATTAAAATGGCTATAAATAAGTACCTCTCAATAATAACCCTAAATGTAAATGGATTAAATGCTCCAATCA